GAGGGGCTACACGGAGCTGCGGCGCTTCATGAGCCCCTGGAAAGCCGCCAGGCTGTGGAGACCGGTGGAGACGGAGCTGATGGCCGACCGGCGGGCGCAGGAGAAGCAACTGCTGGAGGGAGGCCTCCGACAGCGGCCGGGCGAGGAGTGGCTCTGCTCCACGCAGGTGTCCGAGGTGGAGAGGTCCCTGGGGATGATCATAGGGATGGAGTACTGCAGCTTCTCCCGGCTCTTGTACCACAGGCACGAGCACATGGATTGGAAGTGGAGAACCTCGGCGTAGACATTCCGAAAGCCGCCCCCGCCGCCCCCCACCGCCGCCGGCGTGGCCGAGGCAGCGTCTGTGGTGTGGATGCTGCTGGCTTGCCCGTTGCGGGTGAGCAGCGCCCGGTGCTCGGCATCCCGCTTCTCGTCCTCGGCGTTCATGGTCATGAAACGCAGCACCACCAGGTTGAGGAAAGCCCCGATGACCGTCAGCCCCGTCAGGATGTAGACGAAGCTGAAGGCCACGTACTGTGGCTTGTTCTGGAGGGCTTCGTCCTTCTGCAGGGCCACGTAGTCCCCGAAGCCGATGGTGGTGAGAGTGATGAAGCAGTAGTAGTAGGCGTGGAAGAAACTCCAGTGCTCGTAGTAGGAGAAGGCAGCTGCCCCAATGCAGAGGGTGCTGATGCAGGAGAAGAACCCTATGGTGACCATGTTGGCCATGGAGACCTCTGCCCGCCTCATGCCAAGGCACTTCTTGATGCGGTGGAGGAGGTACTTGACGAAGGTGTTGATCCTCTCGCCCAAGCTCTGGAACATGACGAGGGTGAGGGGGATCCCCAGCAGGGCGTAGACCATGCAGAAGACCTTCCCCCCATCCGTGCTGGGGGCTGCATGGCCGTAACCTGGGGAGCAGAGCCACAGAGCGGGATCAGCTTGGTGGTCCGAGAGGGGTGCAGGGGGTGCAGCGTCTCAAACCCCTTGCCTGACTGAGCTGCGGGTGGTGAACCCCAACCCTGACCGGTGCCATCCTCACCCCCAGGCACAAGGAGTGACCACGGATGGCGGAGCAGGCTGGGGGGACAATGGGGTCTCCAAATGAAAATGAAGGAGAGGGGGCTGGAGAAGGGGGAAAGCCCTGGGCTCGAGGGGAAAGGAGCTGGGGGGCTGGCAGGGGGTGATGGACTGGGTGCTGCATCCCCGGGTTGGGGTGGGGGCAGCTGAGGGATGCTTGGATGGGCCCTGGTTGGGGTGGGGGGACGTTCCCCAGCCTTGGGGATTTGGAAATTGGAGATCGCTCTTCCCTGAAATACCCATCCTGGGATGACCCATCTCAGAGCAGCCGGGTGGAGAGGCGCAGGAGGTGGGGAAAACAGGGATTTTTAAGGACGCAAGAGACAAGGGCGACTGGCTTTCCTCTGCCACCCCAGCCCCGCGTCCCCAAGGCCCTCCGCCCCACTGCCC